GGATAAAGAAAAAGAAATTATTAAATTAAGCAAAGGCAAAGAATTTGGGATAGGATAGGTGAACAGGATAGTGGTAGTCTGTTATAACAGACGCAACAGAATAGTGTAAGTGAAACTAATAGGAACAAAATAACTAACTTAAAAGAGGAAGGAATAAGAACCAATGTGGAATAAATAATTGGAAGAAAACATAAACCTTATAATAACATTAAATTTGAATGAATCAAACAATCTTACAAAATGAGTGGAAGAATGAATAAGAAAACAACCCCCCCCCTAATTTTCCACATGCAAGAGTCACATCTACATAATAAAGACATGTACACTTGAAAAATAAGAGGCTGGCACAAAGTTTACCTCATATAAATTGATTGCAAAAAAGGAGGTATTGTAATCATGTTACGAAACAAAATAAAAACAAACATTTATAACATGGAGAAACAAACAGGAAAACTACATTAAACTTAAACCAATGTTGGTAATATGGGCAATGGAATAATATCAGCACTAAACATTTACGGACCAAACAGTATAATATCTAAATTTGTAAGTTACCTGAATTGCAAAAAGACATAAAAAGTAACACAATAATTACGTGAGATTTTAATGTTCCTCTCTCAAAGTTGAATTAAGCTAACAGAAAGGTAAACAAAAAGGAAAATAAGGACTGGATAAACGGTTGAAGCTAGATGTGTGTGGTTTATGGTGTCTTCTGAATGAGAATTAAAGAATATACATATTTCAAAGAACCAATGGGATCTTTACAAAAATGGATCATGTGCTAAGGAAAAGAGAAAATATAAATAAAATTTTAAAAGCATAACTACTAAACAGGTCATAATAATAAAAATAGTGATTAGTACAAAGAGCACAAACAAAAAAACTAAATGAAGACTTAATGATGGCAATTTGAACAATGAGTGGTTCAAAGAACAAATCATTGAAAAAATAATTACATTGGAGAGAATGATAAAAATATGACAACAGACTAAGATTTCTAGGAGGCATTAAAGGAACAAAACTGTATCTCTGAAAACATATACTAACAATAAAAAAAGAAGATTAATAAACATAAAGTTTTAAGAACTAGAAAATTGGTCAATAAATCCAATATAAGCACAAAAGGGAAATCTGGAAAATTAGAAGAGGAAGTGTTAAAAAACAAAAAGACTGGTGAATTCATGAACCAAATTAAAAGCTAATTTTTGGAAAAAACTAATATAATCAATAAACCTTTAGCAAATCTAACCAAAAAGAGAAAAGTAAAGAAAAAAGAGAATAGGAAGATCAACTTGCTAAAAAATAAAAAAAAATGTCAGGTGTAATCACAATAAAGCAAAAAAAAAAAATCAGACCCTGCAGATATTATATGCTGAAAAAATTGAGAATTTAGGGGCAATGAATAATTACTTTTATAAATATATACCCAAATACCCAAAGTTAAAAATGCCTAAATTAGCAGAAAAGGAAACCAATTTTAAACTAAGCTTCCACAAAATAAAACTGAATAATAATAAATAATAACTGAAATTTATATAACACTTTAAGGTTTGTGAGAAACTTACCATGTGTTAATCAAATATCATCCGTCAATAAGTCTTAAAGGAACTACCAACAGGGAAGACAAAGCAAAAAACAAAGTAACCCTGGTTCAGATGGATTTGGAAAAGCAGCATAGTATAGCAGAAAGAAAGAGGGCCTCAGAAAGACCTTGGTTTAAGTCCAAGCAGACATTTATTGGCTATATGACCCTCAGGAAGTCATGTAACCCATCAATATTTTCGGCACCTTACTGAGCCTGAAAGTTGCACAGAGGCTGTCAGCCTGCTATTGATAGAGGGAGTTTCCTTATCTGGGAATTTCTTATGCCAGTAAAATCACAGGTCCAATTTCTATCTTATCCAGATAGATTTACAGGGGAATTCTTTCAGACATTTAAAGATTAATTAAATAATACCTATGCTGCCCAAATTATTCCCAGACATTAAAAGGGGGGGGGGGAAGCATATTCTACCAAAAAAATTTTTATGACAAATGACAAATATGATTCTAAAACCCAAGCCAGGGGAGGACAAGAAAAAAAAAGCAAACCATACATTAATGTCACTAATGAACATTGACACAAATATTTAAATAAAATCCTAGCAAGACTACAGCAGTATATCCAAAAAATTATTTGCTTTGACCCAGTTATATTTATATTAGCAATGCAAAAATGACTCAACATTAGGAAAATAATATAACTAATCATATTAAAAACAAAAACACTCCAAATCACATGATTATATCAACTTCTTGTTCAGGTATGTCTGACATTTTGTGACCCCATTGGGGTTTTCTTGGCAAAGGTACTGGAGTGGTTTGCCATTTCCTTTCTCTAGCTCATTTTACAGAGGAGGAAACTGAGGTAAAGAGGGTTACATGACTTGCCCAAGGTCACAAAGCTAGTAAGTGTCTGAGGCCAGATTTGAACTCAGGAAGAAAAGTCTTCCTGACTTCAGGCCCACCACATTATCTATTGTGCCACACCTCGATGCCATTTACTTTGCTATTCTGGCTTAATTAAATACTTTGCTATTGAAAACCAAAACAAAAGCATGATGTTATATGAATATGAGATATTATTAATAATGTTAATTATGTACATATGTATATTCTATTTTTTTTTAATGGTAAAAGCTAGAATTTATATGGTACTTTGAGGCTATATAGATCTTCAAGTTTCCTAAAGTACTTTATATGTAATTTTTATATTCGTACGTCCTCACAATAACCCTATGAGGTAAATACTATTACAATCTTCATTTTACAGATAAAGAAACTGAAGCTGAACGAGTTTGGGTGATGTACCCAACGTTACATAACTAGCAAGTGTGTAAAGTAGGATATGAATCCAGTTATTCTTGGCTACAAGGCTAACAATATATTCACTATGGCACCCTCAGGTCAACTGCTACTACTATGCTCAGGGTTCTAGTATAACAATAAGGGTATAGGATTTCTGGTAATATTGCTCACAAGCCCCTATTGGTGTGCTTCTCATTACCGATCAGTTAGTCAGACTTAAATTAGCATTTAGAAAAGGTATTTACTAATGTGGTAGAGTAAGAACATTTGGTGTAAAACATCTCTCTAAAAGTCTGAGGTACATACTCTTCTTGCACACACAGATTCCTGGGGAGAGTAGCCTCAAACTTAAAATATAAGGTTGATCCACTGTTTGTTAGTAATTTTCAGTCATGATCAACCCTCTGTGATCCTATTTGAGGTTTTCTTGGTGGAGATACTTGAGTAGTTTGCCATTCCCTTCTCCAGCTTATTTTACAGATGAGGACACTGAGGCCAACAGGGTTAAATGACTTGCCTAGGGTCACGCAGCTAGTAAATGTCTCAGGCCAGATTTGAACTCACAAAGATGTGTCTTCCTGACTTCAGGCCTAGCTCTCTATCCAGTGTGCCGTTTAGCTTTTCCCTGACTGGTACAACTGCTGGGCTATACCAAGCTGTTGAAGGGCCAAGCTGCTCAGCCGGCAATTCACAATTTCCCCAGGCCTTACATTGCTCACAAGTTCTCTGCCTGAATACATCACGGCTGGCTGCTCATCGGTCACCTCTTAACCCCTGTGGCTAGTGCTCTTGGCTCTGCTGGACTGTGCTACTAATGCTAGTCGCCAGTGGAACCTCTGAGGTGACCTCTGAATCCCCTAAACGCATATGGTCCATTAATGGACACATCCACTTCAGAATGTTTATTCACCTAATATTAGGAAAGAAAATAAAAGAAAGTATAAACACAAAGAGGCAGAGGCAGCCTCGTACTTATAGTTGCCAAAGCCAGGTAGGAGATGTGGCAGCCACCTTTCCCTCTACCCAGCTGCTCAAGAGTTCTGTTTCCTTGTAGCTGCAAAGGAAAGAGACTGAGCTATGGAAGGGTCCCCTCTTTTGTGTGCACACAGTTCTAATTCGTTGACTCTTGAGTCATAAGTTCTTCCAGTTCAAAAACCAGTCAGAAGACTTTACATCATCACATAATACTAGCACCTGAGCCATTCATAGTTTGACACGAGGTCCCCAAAATGTCCGCATGGTTGAAATGGAAACATTCAGAGGATATCTGTGCAAGCTTCAAGGACTGGTTCTCATAGGCCAGTCCATTCCTGATACACAGTAACCTGCAGAACTCCTTTGACATTAAAAAAAAGGGGTGGGCAGACACATAATACTCACTAGCTGGGTGACTCTGGGCAAGTCACTTAACCCCATTTGCCTCATATTTAAAAAAAAAATTTAATTCCTTTCAGAGAGTTGGAATGAGAATGTAGAGATATCTAATACAATCCTTTCTTTTTTAGGTGAGGAAATAGAGACCAAAATAAGTTAAGTGATTGAACCAAAGTCGTACAGCTAAGGAGTGGAAGAGCTGGGATAAAATCCAGGTCAGTACTTTTAGAACACAGTAATATTTTTAAAGAGTAGCCAAATATAGTGGTCCTCCCTTTCTCCTCCACATATACACGCTCATTCATGGCACCCTACCACACCACACCACACCATACCAAGATGGAAGAAATGACCGAGGGAGCTAGCTGTTCAGTAGAGAAATTGATCATCAAATTTGAGCCCCTTTGCTATGTGTCATATCAAAACACCATGGTCAGATTTATCTCTGAGAGAATATTTATTTCCTTCTCGACACCTGTAAGAAATTACTTAAAATGTCTCCTTCCCCTGATCTGTTGTTCATCATTCCATCTGCAACAAAAATTAAATCATCTTTGCACGAGGCTGCAAGGACATCTGTTTGCAATCATCCTCCCCAAGGAAGCTGTGTTTCTGGAGAAGTAGAAACCTGATTCTTCCCTTTCTGTGTTCATAGGCTGCTTTTGGAGAAGTTTCCAGCAGAGGATCTGGGAAGGCTGAAGGAAGTTAGATAAGAGTGCCTTTCATATGACTTCACCACCGGGGCCTGGCTGTCTCAGGAGGTTGAAAATGCTTTTCCTCCACCAGTTAGTCATTGCTTGTCCTACTTTTCTGAAGTCAAGGAGTACTCACATAAAGAGCAACTTGTTCAGTGACGGAAAAGGTCATTTCTGCTGGCCAAGCGCTTGGAAAGGAGACAGGAAGCATATTATTTTTAAAAGGTAAAGTGATAAAATATTTGCTTACCAAAGGGACAGACAGCATGGCTTAAACCCACCTTGGGGTCTGCACTATCCTGCAGGGCGGGGAATGACTCCATCGTCTTGCTATTACCCTGATGGAAGCAGCAGGCAGTTAGGAGCTGAAATGGCTTTTGCTTCAATTGCCTAGGGGCTCAAACTATGCAGATGGGGGGCTATATGCACTGATGGCAGGCATATAACCTTTTCTACCTCTCATGAAACTCGTGGACTTTTAGCAATTTCTCAGGACTTAGAAAAAGTGGAAAATGCCTTCCTCCAAGATGCAAAGCCAGGTTCCACCGCATTTTTAGAGATGATTGTGTTGTGAAATTGCTCCTCCTTCCAATTTTTGCTTCCCATTTTTATATATGCAGCAAGAGGATAGCAATTAAAAGCGTCTGCTGAAATGTAAATGAGAAACTTTCCACAGTCAAAGTTTATATTGTGGCATCGTTAGTATGTAAATAACACATGGTACTTTATAGAATCTGCCATAATTAGCTCTATTTGAAAGGATGTCTTTATGTAAGAGAATATTATCATTGGAAATGCAATGTAAGTGGTGCCATCAGGCATACAGTACATCTTGGGAGAGAACCACGAATGTTTTATTCGGAAGAGCAAGATGAATAACTTTCTTGTTTTTTTGTAAGTGAAACTTAATTAAAGCAGAAATACTATATAATCAAGTGTAAAACATTTATTTTTGCCCCTACAGGTTTGACCGTACAACACGAAATGTTTTATTAAATATGATATTAATCCAGGCATGTTGCCTTGGACTCAGGGTTAAGTCTTCCATCTGATACTTGTGACCCTGGTCAAGTCACTTAACTTCACCATATGCTAAGCAGCAGTCAAAGCCTGCAAGTAATAGAGCAATGACTGATCTGTATCACTAGAGGGAATTTCCACACTGGGAGTTTCTCAGATGGCTAAAATCACCAGAATGCTTAAAAAAAAAATCAAGCCAACTCTGTAATTAAGAACAAAACCTCTAATTCCTCATACGGCTGGATCTCCCCCATAGAGACCACAACTGTAGTAAAATGAGTGAAATCCACCCTGTCTTTTTCCCCTGCTTGTTTGACTCACTGTTGGTATTTGCTCTGGGAAACTATGCAAGGCTAACCACAATTATGCTCTGCCCACAGTGGCAGCAAAGCTTTGATTTTTAGAGAGAATTACTCTGTCAACAGATACTCCTTCCAGCAGGCATTTGTAGGTCCAGTATCACTGCTCCTTGAACAGGGCTCAAGTGGGGAAAAAAAAAATCACAGAATCATAGAATTTTAGCATAATTGATGTGGTCTGACAGAGGCACCATTATTAGAGATTGGAATCTTCTGACTGTGAAGAAAGGATTGTTGTTGTTTGTCCTTCGTTCCTGAAGAGGACCGTGACATTAGGACAAGTGAATTAGATGTAAGTGAGAGAGGGCTGTGCAAGTCACCAATTTCACTTTCTCCTCTGGAGCCATCTGGGTCCAGTGGAAAGATATAAATTAGGACTACTGGAGATGGCCCAGGATGTAATGGGAGACCTTGGCCTCTTTTTCTTTCTTTCTTTCTTTTTTTTATTTTCCCCTAGAGGCAATGGGGTGAAGTGAGTTGCCCAGGGTCACACAGCTAGTAAGTGTCAAGTGTCTGAGGTCAGATTTGAACTCAGCTTTTCCTGAGACCAGAGCTGGTGCTCTATCCATTGCACCATTTAGCTGCCCCTGACCTTGGCCTTTCTAAGCTAAAGTCTTTAACAGGTCTCAGTTTGACTGAGGCAAATGAAGAAAAGAAAAAAATGAAGTGAACGGCTTATGCATTACATTGGCCCTGGAATCTACTTTGTGCCTTTCTTTTTTCATTAAAACAGAGGGAAATTTAAAGGGAAGAAAAAAGCAAAACAGGTGATTCTGATTCATTTATACTTGGATTCATGGAAAGCCACAGAATCAAAGAGGTAGAAGTGGGTGGAGTTAGAAGGAGGAGAAAGTCATCTAGTCATTTCTTTGCTTTCAAGAAAGGTCACACAGACAGCATATCACTGAAATGTGAAATCTCTTTTCTCCAGGGCCAGAAATTCTAAAACTGCCCCTGGTTACCTACTTCAACTTTTAATGACAGTCATGAAGGAGGAAAGCCAACTTATATAAAAGAAATGTAATCTGAACTGAACCTCAATTGTAAAGTCCAGAATTGCCTTATTTATCTGGCATCACTGTGGAAAATGAGATGCTCTTTATGGGTGAATTTTCCTGCCAAATGAAACTAGCCCTCATTTTTTCTTTTAATTCAGGGTAGAAATTTTTTCTTTAAAATATGTATGTTATGCTTTATTCCCTGCTTCCTTAAATAGAATATGATGAAGCTAATTTAATCACGTCTTGTTGACTGGGACCGTCATTATAAACAAAAAGCAGTGGCTATAGTAGGTAGGTAGAGTTTCTCACACCTGGTAGGAAATGTCTGGTGTACAGATTTCAACCCTTCTGTGACTTAGATGAAATCCTAGGAAATCACATTCAACAAATAGATGTAAGTGATTTTGCCCAGTGTCACAAAGCTAACAAGTGTTAGGGACAGGATTTGGATTCAATCTAAAACCAAAATTATAATATTAGAACTATTTTTATGAGAAGTCACAATTTTTTCCTCCAAAATTTTAGAGTCCACAAAATATAATTAGAATTAATGTAATTTGTGTAATTTTGTGATTATGAAGCTATGGGGAAATTATTTCTCCTATTCCAAGTCATTACTACTAATAGTTTAGGAAAAGCTTTGCTTATGAAAAGCATACTATAAAATGGGAGACCAAAATCAGATTTAGATTTATCAAAGTGATGGGTGAAACATTGCATTGTAACTTATAAATGTCAAGAAAGGGCCTATTTAATTCACTGGGCATAAGGTATGTTACCTATTAAAAAAATCCAGGAAACAGGAATATGGAAAGTGGTCAAAAACATAAAAACCCTTTAAGAATAATATTTAGAACTACTTTTCTTTTTATTTTTTTTCCTATCCAAAAAACTGCAGAGAAAAAAAATGTGACAGAAGGCAGGTTAGAGAACTTTCGCATTCCTTTTTTTTCCTCCTTAAATTCTCTGATTCTCAAGATGTAGCAGCCAAGAAATCTCATATGCTATATTCTCAGCCTATGTAAGCACCATCCAAGATAATGGACTAAAAATAGCTTGTCCCCTGCATACATACATAGGAGGAAAACTAATGAATGTGGAGCCTTTGAAAAAGGCATGAATATGTAAAACCAGCAGGAGGAACATAAGGTTAAAAGAGAAGGATGAGAATGGAAGTGGCTTAGGACAGACCCTGTCATGCTGAAGCCAGGTAATATGAAGAAATAAGTGATGAAAGGTAGTGATAGCAATCTCTCTCGAGCAATTTTTTTAAAAGTGTAGTGTTCCCAGAGCCTGTACTATAAAATGTTTTATTCTCATGATCACAATTTATACATTTGGAGGAATTTTTCATCTTGTTAATGATTTCATTATTCCACTCACTCTGGAATTTCCATAGATTACTGGGATCAATGTAGGGCTAATATATAGCTCCAGTCTCCAAACAGTGCCTACTCCACTAATAATCAAGGAAGAAATAAAAAAAAAATCAAACGGCAAAGTGTTTAATTGGTAAAGAATAGAAAAGTAAATAGCAAGGAAAGGGTAATGGAGAGAATCATTCTCAGCCCTCATACATAAATCAGTACAATCTCCTACAGAGTCTCATGCTGTTTGAAGAAGGATTTAGGGCTTCATCCCTAATTAAAGCACTAGAAAACTCATGCTCCTAAGGGAGCATCTTCCTTCAAAAATGTGCCCCTCCTCATTTCCCAAGTCCTGTTGATGTCACCACTATACTCTGTTACTCAGGTTCAGATCCTTGTTTCTAACCTTGAAACAGCCATTCATTCCTTAACTTTTAGGATTTGTAAGATTATATGGGAGTTCAAATTTTGTAGTGAGTTATGCTTTTGAAAATGTCAGCAAAAGTGGAACATATTTTATTTCATTTGATCCTTCAAACAGGCAAACATTATTATACCCATCTTACAAATTAAGAAACTGAGTGAGACTCTGACTGGTTAAATGACTTGTCCCAATTCACATAGCTAGTTTTTAAGGGAGTTGAATCCATTCTTTCCATTCACACTGCCACCAACCTAGTTGAACCCCATTACCTCTTACCTGTACTGTTATAATAGCCTACTAATTATTATCTCTGCCATGAGCCTCACCTTTCCTTTTTCCAGGAGCTTATGTAAATTAAGAAATGACACAGTCATATCACTATGCTCAAAAATATTTAAAAAAATTTTTTTTTCAACCCAGAAAGACTTGTATGAACTGATGCTGAGTGAAGTGAGCAGAACCAGGAAAACATTGTACACAGTAACAGCCGCATTGTGCAACATCTAACTTTATAGACTTAGCTCTTCTCAGTAGTGCAAGGATCTAAGACTTCTCCAAAAGTCTCATAATGGAAAATGCTATCCACATCCAAAGAAAGAACTATGAAGTCTGAATGCAGATCGAAGCATGCTGTTTTCTCTTTTTTTTCTTCCGTTTGGTTTTATTTCTTCTTTCTTGTGGTTCCTCCTATTGGTTCTAATTCTTCTTTACAACCTGACTAATGTGGAAAATATGTTTAATAGGAATGTATATGTAGAGCCTATATCAGATTGCATGCTGTCTTGGGGAGGGAAGAAGGGGAGGTAGGGGGAGAATATTTAAAACTCAAAAGCTTATGGAAGTGAATGTTGAAAACTAAAAATAAATTAATAATTTTTAAAAATTTATTCATTAAACATTTCCCAATGACATGTAAAAAATTTTAATACTCGATTTTTTAAATTCCAATTCTAAATTCTACTCTCTTTCTCCCTCATCTTCCCCCACCCCTTGAGAAGGCAAGAACAATATGATATCCATTGTACATATGAAATCATGCAAAATATTTTTCCAT